CCTAACTCCTTGGGTTGTTCCAGCATTTATTACAGGTAGCCCCGGCTACCATTTCGAAGACTCGTGTCCTCATCCATACTTGACCTCTCACGGTCATCCATTCCGGTCTCACCTTCATGAGCACCAGCCTCAACCATGTGAGGATAAACTTGTGACTCCTTTATTGTTTTTGGAGTCTCTATCTTCCCCGTGATCCCAACTATAGTTGTTTACCCCAACTACATTAGCCCGTTTGCTGAGTCAAACGCTCATCTGGATCACCTCCTCAACTCAATGAGGAAAACCTTGCACTATTCCTAAGATCCCAAAGTCGTTCCATTATTGGCCCCTTTTCTATCCACCACCTTGTCTACAAGTTCACACATGAACTGTAATGGAGAGCCATGTCTTCTCGACCTGCTACTCCTCAAGGATAGGCCCACTTCTCGGACCTTCCGTTGCCAACACCAGTGGTGATATACTTGAGCACCAATAAAAGTCGGACTAAGGAACAGCTCCGATACCAAATTGTAGGCGACTAAATTTTCCATTCTACTTTAGTCACTTAACCACACCTCCGACCACTTGGAGGAGTCTCATTCACAACCTCCATAAGTCCAATCCAGGACTTGGGATTTGCTAGCCCCGAGAATGGCATTCATGCCATTCAACATTTGCACTTGGTCCAAGTGCTCCACGTGTCCGATCCCATGACCGACACTCAAAGGTACCACCGACATGCTAGCCCGTTACGCTAAGGCCATGCCCAATCACCTTTGCCACACTGGTAGTCCATTACCACTTGCATCACAGTCTTGGCTCTCCAACACTAGGCAAACCATCCGTGAGTGGTCATTTGAGATCCACTCCTTAGCACCCTTAGGATGCCCACCAACAAGGGGAATAGCCTTCCCCAATATCCCTCTGTCAGTCCCCACTAAGTCCCTTTCTGCCCCTGGCCGTGTTTGCCAACACTGCCACTGGATCGAGACCCACAGGCCCGACCACTAAGTCCCACGGTCCTCTGGGACTTCCTCACCACACGACTGTGTCCTTGGTCACTACCCCAAAGGACTGCTCCTCTTCCTTTCCACAGTCTGGGCCTTTGGGACAACATTTCGGAACACCATAGCCTTACGCGAGCCACCTGGGTACTCTTCTCGCCTTCTGCCCTTAGGTGCTCTAGCCATGGGCTTAGAGCGGGTTCCGTTGAGCCACACCAGGTATCCAAGTAGGTAGTGCCACCCACACTTGGACTGGGAGCATCGGCCAGTTGATCTCCCAGGGGAACTAGAGCCCGCTCTTGAACACTTCACCAAGCTACCCCGCTTGTCGGTCTGTGTTCACTCTAGTCTTGGACTTCCCAGTGGGCAGCTCATCACCCAACACTGGGTCTGGCCTTCCTAGGCCAAACTGGCCTTTCCTGGCCAAACTGGCTCCACTGCAGTCCTCCCCCTTACTATACTTTTGGAGCTCACCAAACCCCCCAGGGTCTGGGAGACGAACGCTTTGGGCTTTCACCCTCTCAGACTCGAACTCGGACTCGGACTCGGACTCGGACTCGGACTCGGACTCGGGCTCGGGCTCGGTCTCGGCCTCAGCCTCGGTCTCGTTCTCGGTCCCGATCTCGGTCTCGGTCTCAGTCTCGGTCTCGGTCCCGGTCTCGGTCTCGACTTCGGACTCCATCTCGGACTCCATCTCGGACTCCATCTCGGGTCCATCTCGGGTCCACCTCGGACTCCATTTCGGGTCCACCTCGGACTCCATCTCGGGTCCATCTCGGACTCCATCTCGGACTCCATTTCGGGTCCATCTCGGGTCCACCTCGGACTCCACCTCGGACTCCATTTCGGGTCCATCTCGGGTCCACCTCGGACTCCATCTCGGGTCCATCTCGGACTCCATCTCGGACTCCATTTCGGGTCCATCTCGGGTCCACCTCGGACTCCATCTCGGACTCCATTTCGGGTCCATCTCGGGTCCACCTCGGACTCCACTTCGGACTCCAACTCGAGTCCATCTCGGACACTTCCACGTGTTATGTGTTGGTCCTTTTGGGTCCCTTTTTGGAGCCTCGCTTTTTGCTCGCTTCGTGCTCGTTCCTCGAGCACTTCGTTGGGAGTTCCACTCCCGCTCTTGATTTTTCAAGTCGGAGCTTTTGGTCCAAACGTGTTACGCTCGTTTGGCTCTCACTTCAGCCACTACCACGTGGCACCCTTTCTGGCTCCACTTTGGGGCCTAGGGATTTTGTGTCTCACAGTTAGAGTGCAGCGGCGTTAAATATGTGTGATTTGGAGAGGGAGTTCAACCTCCAGTTGTTATGCTCTCCCCTATATCTTTGAAGGGGGCTTGTCGTAATGGAAAGGCACTTTTGAGTTACTTGTTGTTTGTTCGTAACTTAGGGGACCAAGGCATGTGTGGGGGAGAAGCAGCAATACGGGATGTACTCAACAAGTTTGCTGATGTTTTTCCACTTGAACTTCCTTATGGGATGCCTCCATTACGAGGTGTAGAGCATGAGATTATGTTGGAGCCAGGGATATGGCCAATTTATTGACATCCATTTCGGTTAAGTTATGCGGAGGAGCAAGAAGTTCAACGACAAGTCAAGGAGTTACTTGAGTTTGGATTTATTCAGCCAAGTAAATCTCTATTTGGTGCTCCGGTCTTGCTTGTGAAGAAGAAGGATGGTTCAATGCGGATGTGTATTGACTACTGTGCCTTGAAGAAGAAGACGGTGAAAGATAAAATGCCGATGCCGCATGTGGATGATATCTTAAACAAGCTTGGTGAAGCAGAAGTGTTTACCAAGATTGTGTAAGCAACCAAAGGGAACGACTTGAGAGACGATCCATATAGAGAGGGAAAGGGCCCATGAACAAGAGTGCACCCTTTTTTCCAATCGGTTAAGGGTCTTGGGATACTTGGAGTTAAGCGTCCTTGGGTTTGAATAGTACTGGGCTTGGTGACCTCCCGGGAAGTCCAAACTCAGGAGATTACATTTGGTATCAGAGGGGTCTCAGGTCCGACTCTGTTGGTTGGCTAGGGGAATCACACCACATGTTGATTGACATCTGGCTGGTCCAGTTTGCTCCCGCTGGGCTCGACCCGAGGGGTAGGGTGTCAAGAGAGCGGGGGCTCTCAGGAGAGCTGTGGCTCTCAGCTTCCGTTCACGAGGGCGTGAACTTGCAGGGAAGCGTGGTGGATTGTAAGCAACCAAAGGGAACGACTTGAGAGATGATCCATAGAGGTTCAAATATAGAGGGAAAGGGCCCATGAACAAGAATGCACCCCCTTTTCCAATCGGTTAAGGGTCTTGGGATACTTGGAATTAAGCGTCCTTGGGTTTGAATAGTATTAGGCTGGGTGACCTCCTGGGAAGTCCAAACTCAGGAGTTTACAGATTGATATAAGAAGTGGATATCATGAGATTGCAATGGATGATGCATCTATCTCCAAGATGGCATTTAATATAAGCTTCGAGCATTTTGAGTTTATAGTTATGTCGTTTAGTTTAACAAATGCACCAGCCATATTTACTCAGTTGATAATGGAGGTATTTGGGCGTTATTTTCATGAGTTTGTGGAGATTTTCTTGGACGATATTCTTGTCTTCAACAAGAATATGGAGGAGCATAAGGTGCATTTGCGCAAGGTTCTTTCGTTACTTCATGATAGCAAACTTTATGTGAAGAAGAGCAAATATGAGTTTACAAAGTCGGAGGTGAAATATCTAGGCCATATTGTGACATCTAAGGGTGTCAAGACGAATCCAAGGAAGGTGGCTGTGGTGGAGAATTGGCTTACACCAACTACAGTGGCTGAGTTATGTGGTTTCCTTGGAATGGCTAGTTACTACTGATGTTTCTAGCATAAGTTTGCGGAGGTGGCTATTCCTTTAACATAGTTGTTACACAATAACGTGCCATTCAAGTAGAAGAAGCCATAAGAGGAGAGTTTTGTGGTGCTAAAACAATTGTTGAGTAAGGCTCTAATGCTTCATATTGCTAATCCATCAAAACCTTACAAGGTGACATGTGATGTGAGCGGTTATGCACTAGGAGGAGTTTTCATGCAAGAGGGCAATGTATTGCATATGAGAGTCAAACTTTGAATCTTGTGAAGCAATGCTATTCCACATATGAGCAAGAGTTACTCTCTATTGTTCATGCTTTGCAGACGTGGTGGCACTATCTTTATGGTGCAGTATTCATAGTGTTGATGGATCACAAACCACTTGTGTATCTTTTCACAGAAAAAGAGTTAAACATTAGGCAACCTCATTGAATAGTCAAACTTATAGAGTTTGAGGAGTTTAGTGACAAACCCAATGCTTCTTTAATGTATATGATTGTGGAAAATGGATTAGGAGCTTGAGCAAGGTTCCCTAGAAAGGGTGATCACTGGTACAACTTGTTTTTGGCAGAAGGACTTTGTTGGGGGGAAGAATTGCTAGGTGCCAACTTTGACCATGTGGTCAATGTCAGTCAAAGGTAGGCTCAAGAGTATATTAAGGCATGTTAGGGTAAAGAATTTAACTTACCCTAGAACTCACTTGGTGAAGAGGAGCTTTTGAGGTAGTTTGGGGGTGGTTGGGTGGTGAGGAACTTCAAAAGGAGGCCTAATCTAGTTTAGGAAGATTAGTTTTTGTGCCATGTCATAACACAATTATTGTTCATGATATGGATGGGAACATAACACTGGAACTTTTGCCAAATGTTAATAATATGCTAAAAATATTCATATGCTCTTTTGACATTTATGGATAATAGGAGTTCTATCACCAACAAATAACAAAAGTCCCCCTATTCTCTCTCCTCCAACATGCAATAAAGAATTAATGGAGGATGAGTAGTTTATGTTTGTTTTTGCTGGAGTCATAAATAGTATAAATGTGATGATCTTGGTGGACTTTGGCTTAGCAATTTCCTCTACTCAGTGTTTAATTGTTTAAAGTTTTATTATAGCAAGTCTCTTGTACTTCTGTTTACTAATCATAAGTCTCAGCATAGATATTATGTATGGAAACACTGGTTGTCTACGCGCGGTGTGGGCATTTGGAGGAATCGAGAAGGATCTGTGATGCATTGCCAGCCAAGAACATTGCGTCGTGGACGGCGCTCGCGAGTGCGTATTGCGAGAGTGGGCATCCGGGCGAGGCCAGGGCAGCGTTCAATCGAATGGCGGTGCGGGATGTAGTTTCTTCCACTGCGATGGTCAAGGCGCTGGGCGATTGCGGGCGGATTGGATCGAGCAAGGTGGTGTTTGATGCGATGCCCGAGAGGAACTGCAAGACGTGGGCGACGCTGCTGCGGGGATTTGCTCGCGGTGGAGAGATTGGGCGAGCGAGAGAGGTGCTGGATTGGATGCCCGAGACGAATGTGGTAGCGTGGACGATCCTCGTGCAGGGTTTCGTGCAGCGCGGGCGAGTGGGCGATGCGACGGCCGCGTTTGATTCCATGCCCGAGAAGAACAGCATCACTCGCGCGGTGATGCTCGTCATGTTTGCGGAGAATGGATTCATGGAGGAGGCGGAGGATGTCTTCCAGGAGATTGTCCACCGAAACGCGATCCTCTGGGGGGCGATGCACTGCTGCTATGCCCAAAATGGGGATTTGATTCAAGCCAAGAGTTTGTTTAATAGGATGCCTCTGCACAGCATGCTTTCGTGGACGATTATGATCAAGTCATACGCACAAAAAGGTGACGCTGATCAAGGAAAACAATTGTTTGAAGAAATGCCACACAGAGATCTTGTTTCATGGAACTCGATAAACGCTGTTTATGCCCAGAGAGGTCGTTTCAAAGAAGCTATACGAGCGTTTTCTTTGTGTTGCTGCTGGGATTCCTATTCATGGAACACAATTCTCGTGGTATACGCTTTAGATGCAAATAATTGTGAGGCAAAGAAGACGTTTGATAGAATACCAACTTGGAATTTGGTCTCCTGGAACACGATGCTAGCAGCATATGCCCGGACCGGCCATGCGTATTCTGCGATCCAGCTCTTTTGGGCGATGTTTCTTCACGGCTTTGATCACGGCAATGAGCTTTGACAATGGATTGGGCCCTTCGCAAGACCACTACACCTGCATTGTTGATGCTCTAGGACGGCTAGGGCAATTGGAAGAGGCCGAGGATGTCCTGGAGAATATGCCTTTGCCAGCTGATGGAGTTTCATGGGCAACGTTTCTTACCGCGTGTAAAAACCACGGGTAGATGAATCGAGGGATGCATGCTGCGGAATTTACGTGCCAGTCCAGCCTTGTGAGTGATGCATTGCCTTATGTGATGCTGGAGAACATCTTCAGAGCAGTTCAGACTTGATTCTTCACTGTTTTGATGTGTTGACCCAAACATCGATCGTTGATATCCAGCCATTCCGTGAGCCACCCCATCCCCCATGGATGGAGAGCGGGACGCACAGAGGATTGAGCATAGGAGAGTCTTCATGAGGAGCATAGTCCTCCGCCTCTTGCGTATGAGTCCGTGGTGTCCCATGCATCTGGAATGTTAAGTGCAGTGGGTTTGCTATAGTCAGCAATGTAAGATCCAATGCTGCTGTTGTGAATTTCAGCAGCAGCACTGCGCTCCTCCTGCTCCACATCAGTGCCATGCTAGGCGTGGTAATCCAGATTCTCAAGACCATGCCGGTGAGAGTGAGCTGTGGAAGTCTCTCATGAGCTCTTGTTGAAAGTGGGAAGTAGTGGTGTGGAAAGCTTGCGTTTGAAGCGCGGGTGGAGATGGGCTCATTGCAGTAAGGTGATAGCTCGTTCCCATTTTATCCTATCTTCCTGGTTGCCTCCCGACATGCTTCATATGTTCTCCTCTCTGTGTTCCATATGGTATCCTCTCCGCTTGCGAAGCATTGCACAGCATGTTGCTGGAGCTGGGCCTCAGCCCATTCGTTGATGGCTAGCATTTACAGAGAATCAAGTTTAAAGACAATTGGTGTATGCAAGGCGATTTTACAAGGAAATTTATCAAATCTTCTGCAAAGTCAATGCCATAATCTGTCAAGAACCAAATCCTTGGAGAGCTTTAGGAATTAATATATGCATAATGAAGGATAGTTAAGTAATTTGATGATGAGAAGTTTGACATATGTCATCAAACATATTATCTAGCATAGCAATCAGGGATGCTCAACATCCCAAACAATTCTCCCCATTGGAAATAAGAAATATCACAAGTGCCATTTCCTACTCATCCATTCCCTTTGAAAACTTTCTTTTTATTCTGCAGGGTGGAGTTTTATATATAATGTTGTTGTATAGAGCAATATTGCTTCTTCAATGGCAACTACCACTTGTTCAATGTTTCGTGACCAATCTATTCCCTTCTCTTCCAATATCATGGAATATAAGTATATGAAAATTTTCAAAACTAACATATTGGAGTACAATCTTAATCATTCTTAAACTCTTAGGAATACTAGACTCAACTAGAGATATACTTCAGTTCCCTTTAATCTTCCAGTCTAGCATCATTGCAAATCAGAATATTGCTAGCTTTTTGATGCAAGTATAATAGTTGTTTTGAATCATTAGGATCATCCTTTAGTGATTTTAATCTACATTGAGTTATAATTTAAATAGATTGCTACTTTGTCCTCTATGACATGCTAGATGGAGAAAAAGTGTTATATAAGCTCATATTTTTAATGCATCAAGTATTCTTTACAATTCAAATATTTATTTTAATAGCTTTTTTTCTGCAGGCTATTTGCAAAAGAACACCCACAAGGTGTATTACCTGTTTACTATTTGCACACATATATTCTTTATTTTTCCACAATACCTATCTTTTATGGCTTCAGTTAAGTTATAGTCATTTACACCTTTGAGTATTTCTTCAATTTAGGCATTATATTTTTGGTTTGCTTAAGCAAACCAACATAGGATATACCTGGGTATTCTTGAATATTCTATCATTTAATTGTTGATATTTATTTAGAATAATTTTGTGTTTATAAATTAAAAACATTTTAATAATGGTCATACATGGCAAAAAGATGTTCTAATGTATTTCCAAAGCTTTTAAATCTGAGAAGTACTAGTTCAATGTTTGGACATGTGTTTGCGGGTGTGATTTTGTGGCGAGGAAGCAGGAGCAACAGGAGGTCCTCCAGACAAGCTAACTTCTCAAGTTTAACCAGCTGCCACCTCCATGCAAGGGTACTTTCCACGAGCTCAAAGGGTAGAGGGCTAGCTCTTGATTTTTTTTGGTTGTTCTCTAGGCTCCAATCTGTTAGGAGTGATGCAAAGAGACTGTTATGATCAGGCCAGGGATTTCCAACCCAAAGCTATGTTTCACATACCTGAAAAGAAATATACATCTTGTAGTTTCTCTTCTAAATAGAAGACAAGTGCCTGAGGTTGTACATATCGAAGTACAAACCAAAGAAGCAGATCAATGGATCTCCCCACGACGCGTCAATCAGCAGTCGAACGAGCCGAGCAGCGCATTCTTGATCCTCTTCCAGTCGATCCACTTTCCTGTAACCAATGGTGCTACCGTTGCTCACCAGGTACCAGCCCAGCTCGCTGTCCCATGCCTCGACGTGATATTCCATGACCCTTTGTCCCATGTTTACTGGCTCTCGGATCTCCAGTGCGTTGAACTTTGAGACCTTGCCAAGATCAAGCTCGATCCAGCCGGTCGACTCCCCTTGCATTGGAGCCCAGAAAGTTTCCATACACTCGTCAAGGATTTGCTTCGGCCCGAACGAAGAGCTGCGAACGCTGCTTGCTGTCACGGACAAGGGATTCGCTGCTAAGTTGACGCTGAAGATGGAATCTATGGCGGAGCTAAACCGCTCCAGCGTCTGGAAGTCGGATTCGTCGATCAGTCCCGACGAGTTTGGAGGGACGTTGAGCAGGAGCAAGCAGTTCCTGGCGGATGATTTGTAGAAAACGTCGAGCAGCTGCTCCAGGGATTTTGGAGCCTCGTTCCTGTGCCAAAACCAACCGGGCCTGATGGAGATATCGCACTCCGGAGGGAGCCAGTCGGTTCCAGCACTCTCTCCAGACATCAAGTACCTGTTGATGTTGCGAATTGGATCGAGTTTCACGAGAACACAAGGATGGATTTTACGTACTGGCCATCGCTCCTGCCGATCGTAATGGAAGATCTGTTCGCCATCGCCCAGCATGGTTGTCCGGCCTCGCCATACTCGTTCCCAACCCATCGGATGTCAGGGCCAGCGTCGGAAAAGATGTTGGCACCGGGTTGCAGCTGATGAATCGTGTCAAACCAGAGCTCAAAATCGTAGCTCATGTTCACTGCAGTGGGTGATTTCGCACCATCCAGCCACACCTCGGAGATCGGCCCATATCTGCAGGCCGAAACAAAATGCCGCGTCAAGGCATCTGCTGCTAGAGATGAAAACTACAAAAGCCCACAAGCTCGCGAGCTCCTAATGCTAAAACCGTTTGATGGGCTGGAGCAAATGCAAACATATCACACAGTGATCATGCCACCAAGAAAACTGCGTGAAGAAGAAGCAAAGAATGTCTCACTCACCCAGTAAAAAGCTCTCGGAGCTGAACTCGTTGTAGAGAAGAGTGTCGCCATAGCAGCTCTCGTGCAAATCCCATGGCGAGAGATAAAAGCCCACGTCCAATCCACGCTCCCTGGCGGCGGCCACGAACTCGGCCACCACATCCCCCTTCCCTCCTCGCCAAGAGCTGCTAGCCACGGAGAAATTGGTGTAGGCCGAGGGCCACAGGCAGAACCCGTCGTGGTGCTTGACCGTGAGGATCACGAGCTGCGCGCCCGCGGATTGGGCCGCGTCCATCCACTGCGACGCATTCAATCGCTCCGGGTTGAAGATGGAGGGCGATTCGTGGCCGGATCCACGCTCCGAGTCCGTGAACGTGTTGACGCCGAAGTGGAAGAACATCGAGAGGCGGCGCGAGTGGAACTGGAGCTGGCGCCATGAGGGAATTGGGCGGAGAGGGAGCGGTGGGGGCGAATTTAGGGCGACAGCTCTCAAGAACACTAGTATCTCGAGGAGCAAGAAAGAGAGATGGAAATTCATTGCTATAGAGAATGGAGGAGAGAGCCAATCTTATAAGCCCAGTGGAGTAGTGGAGTAGAGGAATTCTCACCAGAGAGTAAAATCTTTGCTTCTTCCAGGGTGTCCTTGTTCTTGCAAGGCAAGATGGATTATCTTCTTCTTCTTAGCCGTGATCTCCAAGCTAGATTGGAATGCTCTTTCTCCGTCCAGGATTCTCAAGAGCTGTGGAGGTCGCGCCCGGATTCTCGCAAAGAATACCTCGCGAATCGCGAATGCGTGTGAGATCCAGCAAAGTTTATGGCATTGCTCTTCCCCAATTTCGTGATTTCCACAGACACCTCAGAGGATTGCTTGCTCTCCTGGGGAGCACTGCTCAAGAACTGCCGGGATCTGTCACAGGGGACGCAAATCCACGCCCGCATTGCGCAGAGCGAGCACCGCCGCAACAAACACCTCGCGAATCTGCTCGTCCAGATGTATGGCAAATGCGGCAGCGTCGATGACGCCCGTGCAATCTTCGAATCCATAGAGAATCCTAAGCTCTTATCCTCCAACATCATGATCCGGGCCTACGCACAGGCGAAAGATCTAAATCGAGCGCGCAGAACGTTCGATGGGATGCTCCGGCGAGATGCCTCGACGTGGAACTCGATCGTCACGGCATATGCCGACAACGGGCATCTTGATAAAGCGGGAGAGGTTTTCGAATTAGCTCCAGAGAAGAACGAGATCTCTTGGAATGTGATGATCACGCTTTGCATCCGCAGTGGAAAGATAGCTTCTGCCAAGGATTTGTTTGATCGGATGCCCGTGAAACCACTTGAGCAAATCAATTTAGTAGATCAACAGTGCTTCAACCTCAACCAGTTCCAGCGTCCGCTATAGATGGTGCAACACAGGTGAAATACTTTTATCAAGCTACTCTCTTGCTTAAGGAGTGCATGTTGACTTGCAGGACGCAGTAGAAGGAATGCTCGAAGAATGGCAGGAAAACCTGGCTATAATGGCAGCTAACCGAACTAATGGGGACGAGAGAGTGATTATGCATCTTGGTGATTGTCTCTGGAGACATCGAGATGAGGTATATACATGGTCACACGTTGATGTGTCTCATAGTTTTAACTTGCAGATATGTGGAGCCCATATTTGCTATCTTGTTGCAAATGCTAGTTTTGAGCCTTTCTCCCCTTCTGCCAGACTTTGTCTTATAGGTGCCGCCCATTGTAAGTATCCACGCACGTACGCTAGTCCAGAAGCTATCCAGGTAAGCCGTGTTTGTCCTCAATAACAATTGTTAACCTTTTCTTCATCAGCGAATGGACGTGTACGAATTTGCCAGAGTGACTGGCAAATCCCAGTTTATTTACTTCCTTTTCAGCCATACAAGCTTATTTATGCGTCGATGCTTGCTGAAGCTGGAAAGATAAACGAAGCTTTAAGGTTGGTAGTGATTTTTAACTGTATCCTTAAGGTTTCTCTTCAAAGGTATTGCCAAGCGGTGTTGAAAACATTGAAAACAGTGGCCATGCAGCTGATGTGTGCAAAGAAGCGGCTGTACCCTTGGAAGAGCGTCTTCGTATTCACTCTCAGGTTTGTAATCGGACACACAGCTTTTATACTCACTTTCCTGTTATCCAGGGAGGCTTGACGTCAATTGTGCAACAGTTTTTTGGCAATATTGGTCTACACAAGATGACAGGCCCTTCTTCCCCGAAAGCTTCTGATATGCTGATATTAATAACTGTCCCGCAACAGCTTCTAGCAGAAGCAGTGTATCACTTGCCTCGTCGGCATCAATAGAACCCATAAGTGATAATACGAGAAGATCCAACATGCCAGCGAGAAGCATTTCTGAGCCTGACTTTAGGCCTGCACAGGTAACTCGACTTGCTCTTGTGTACCTTCGATTAAGACTTGTATTCTTTCATCAGATCGTTAGTCCAGCGAAAGGAACGCCAAACAGAGGCGTCTTTACTTCTTTCGTGCAAAGAGCGATGGGCTTCATAAAAACACCTTCGAAGGAGGTTTGTAGAAGCTTTGGAAAGAGCGCTAGCTGATTGATGGTCGGTATGTGATGCAGGCAAAGCTTGGCGACAGCAACAAGTTTAGATACGACGAGACACTGAAGCGCTGGCTTGAAGAACGAGCCGAGGCACAAGCGCCAGAGCTTCCGTTGGCTCCTCCTCCCACGGCAAACAAGCTCGTCTCGCGCGTGGAGGAGAACGGCGCTCCTATTTCCATGTCTCCGGAGAGACCACAGCCAACTCCGGAAAGGCCGCAACCGGTTGTGAGTGGAATCCCACCAATGCCTCCGAGCAGTAACCAGTACGCAGCTCGCGCACGTCAAAACGTTAGATCAAGGTACCGTTTTGGTCATTCCCAGCACTCCAATCTCACGAGGTTTTTGCAGATATGTCGATACATTCAACAAGGTAGCGTAACACCATCCAAGACATCATCGGACTCTCCTCCACTGTTTGGCGTGGTGCCAAAGGCAAGCGCAAAGCCTTTGGCTCCAGCGAGATTTTTCGTGCCTGCGGCCGCTGCTGCCGCTGCTCCAGATATCAACAGCAACCATTCGGTGGATCCTTCCTCGGCACCGGCCTTTGTCCCCGACACGGCATTCTCAAACGGGAATGGACCGTTTGCACCAGCAGCATTCGCTCAGCCGGTTGTACAGGATATGAGAAACGATCCGGGGCCAACGCCTGATCATCTATCGAGCGGCTCTTCGCCAGCAATGTTCTATTCGAATCACTATCCAGCAGCACCGTCGACCGTCTCGTTGCCGCCACCTGCAGCTCTGGAAGTTACTCCGCCAGTGATGGTCGAGCAGCAGCAGCAAAACCAACACCAGGAAAGTTCGATTCATCGGCACCTCAACAGTCCGGCACAGTGGGATTCGAAGCTGCCAGTTTCTCCAGAGTGTTTGGAGACGACTTGCAAGAGGTGGAATTGTAAATCACACTCCACAAGTAAGTAGTAGTGACTGTTGCTGGGTGGATTTTGGTAGAGCAGTGTAGCGAAGTAGTAGTCGTGGAAGGAGGAATTTGTTTTGGCTGGGGTGATTCTTTGGAGCCACGAGCCAAGCGAGGAAGCAAGATAAATAAAATGGATCAAACAATATAATTCAGGAATTAAATTCTATAAAACAATAAAATTTAAAATGAAACGGTAAAATATAACATAGAATATAAATAGAATAAAATAGAGTAACAAACTACAACATATGCAACATATACTCTTCAATAATAAATTTCAAGCCATGATTCTCATTATATAATCTTGTAAACAAAATTTCAATAAATACTAAAAAAATTCTAGTTATCTCATTTTTTGAAATTTTTTTTTATGGAGTTTCTTCTTGAACTATATGACAACATCAAATATCTGTACTACATTATTTAATAATCCTGCCTAAATTCAAACAAAACTGATACAAGCTATTAGTATCATAACACTACCCTTGCATTTCAAATTCTTTGTCAAGCTTGCATTTCAAATTTTCCCCCTCTTAGCCTTATGCTTTTTTCTTAGGTTTATTATTTAGGTTCTCTAGGGTTTGCCACTACTGGTTCATGGATCACATCTTAGGAGGCATTTTTCCTTCCTCTCTAGCACATTCTAAGCACATATCTCTCCCATACTGTTTTGGTTTGTTTATAGCCATGGTAAGTTTTTCTTTCCTCAAAACATATGGTTTCCATTATTATAAAGAATATACATTCGTATTTTAGTATTGCTTGGCGTGAGACTATATGATAGTGTAGTGTATTTACAAAAGAGTCATAGGCATGAGAGCATATGCCTAGAAATCTCAAAACAAAAGAACAAAGATTTACAAGAGAGAGTCTGGTCTATAGGTGTATAAATGCACACCAAGAAATCTCAAGCTTCTTTGGAGAAACTCAAATTTGAGTTTGGCTAAGCATGAACCCACATGCTAGCTTAAAAAAACAAGAGACCATGAGAGAGAGAGAGTGTGTTAGAAATCCTTACATTTTTTAAGACTGAGTGTGAGACCATGCTTGTTCAAAGTTAAGTAACCCCCATTTCTCTGGTCATTTTATAAACTTGCACTTACCAATTTGTTTCTCTCTTAATTTGACTTTGGTTTATTGTGAGCTCATATTCTTTCATCAATACATTAAATTGGGTTTTTAGCGTGCAAGTGCATGCTAGAAATTCTTTGACTTTGTGTGTGCTTATTTTATGCATTTTTAATTATTTTCACTATATATTTTCATGTTTTGTTTTCTCATTTCACAAAAAAAGCTTTGTTTTTTAATTTCCTATTTTCTTGTCTTTTTCTTGTACTTTTTTCCTTCTATTTGTGTTTTGATATTTGTAATTTTCTTTGTTTTCTCAAGTTGTTAAAGGAGATGTAATAGAGATTGTTTGGGATAATGGAGAATCAATTGCAAAGGGAAGAATAGAATCTTTAGATGCTACTTGCATTTGTCACTATGCTTCTTTAAGAGTTAGAAGTGTTTTGCTTTGCATTATTAAGATGTTTAACTCAAATTACTCTGGATGTTAGTGGGTTTTCTATATAGAAGTAGAATCAATTGATGTTTCCAATAGAGATATTTCCTACCAAAATCTGTTAGGGAAATACAATTGGAACATAGAGGAATAATAATAAAGATGTTATTCCACAGAAGATAGAGAGTAAAAATATTTCCAAAGGCAAGAATATCCTTAATTCTGGTTGTTCTTCTATAGATATAAATGCTTGTAATATATGGTATAAAGCTCTTGTGAAGATAGTGGATGCTATACATGTAGTTGTGGCTGAGGGACTAGTTATTGTTGTAGACCCTCAAGATGCTTTACACAACATAACTTTAGGGTGGGTTTATATTGGAATCTCAATCTCTTCTTTTGTTGATGTTTCAAGTAAGTTGGAAATAGGTAGTCTAGTTCAATGGAAATTATCCCAAACTCTTTTTGGTAATAGTATACCATCTACCATACTAATAAGCACTTGCATTTCTTCTTCACATTATTGAAAACGAAAATATACATTTATCAGATGAGCTATTAAGAAGCAACCAAGCAAATAGAAATCAAATACTAAGGATTTAACAAGTGGAGGATGATGGGGAATAAAAATAATAATTAATCAAAGCATGGACAGCGATCAAAGATAAAAAAATACAAAAATCAAGAATCTAGAAATTTGTATCAACAATAATCTTAGGGACAACAACATTTAGAATACAACCACTACTCAGCTCAGACTTTTTGAACATCACCATCAACTGGAGAATGCAGACGCTTATAGTAAGGACACGCATGACTTTATACAACACAATTAGAGGTAGGCCACAATTACTTTACAATAATTTAACACAACAAAGACTCGTAAAAAGAGTAGCCATAGTATGCACTCTTACGATCCTAAAGTTGGCAAGCAACGACCTTGTTGAAGACTGATCAACTTTACCGAGCTGCGTATAACGTAGCAACATAAATACCAATACATAAATTGTGTTAGTTTACACCACATGATTTTACAACAACACAACATTTTTTCGAGACGAACACAACAAACCAAAGACAATAACAACAAAACCATAAAAGTAAATTTAAGAAAATGATAACTCAAGAAAGCTCTAGCACAACATCGAATGTACAAACACAACCTTGATCCACTCAAGAAACAAGAGCAAGATCAGATACAAAAAATACGAGAAGAGATGAAACAACTCCACAAAAAATTAGAAGTAGACAAACAATAGAAGACTCAAGCTTAAATCGAAATCCTTAAGACTATATTCAAGACTTTGACAAAACGACCCAAGCCATACCAGTTGGCAAATCAAACAACATTAACACAACCAATGTCGAGGAAGACACAATCAACCAAAATTTAGACTTAGATCAAGATTTACCACCACTTGAAACTCTTGATTACAAAGATTACAACACTGATAACTTTCAATCTTATCCAACTTCTCCAAAAATTGAACCATCACCAATAATAGAAAGATGGCATTTATTAACCCAACAACACCCTACGGCATCATGATTACATATCCAATCTTCACCGGTAGCAAAATTGAAGATGCAAGAAAGACATTTCCAGCAATTCAACCAAATTATATAAGTCAATCAGCAAGAAGACAACAAAGAACTTCTATTCCTTTTCACACTTAAAAGAAAAGCATTAGAATGGTATTATAATTTTTGATGAAAAACTTAAGTTTCGGAAAAAAGTTAAGTGATTCAAAGAGAAGTACCAACCTAGTGGCATAACAATTGAATACCTAGAACATCTTAAGAGCATCAAATAAGGCAGTAAAGAAGATATTGAAGACTATACCTGAAAATTCAAATATCATGTAAAGTGCTACAAAGATATACTCACTAAACAAGGTAAGTATATTTGGTATGTACAAGGATTGAAATAGATATACCAGCAAATGGTTGCTCTCGCAAGTACGGAAGAAAAGCTCTATTTCGTTAAAGTGGGAATTGTCATTATCCCACTTGTAAAATAAGGTTTCCAAACCTTTATATAGTATATAAATATAACAAAATTCAACTGCATTGAGGCACATGCCATTTTATTTTAAACAAGGAAATGTCTACTCAATCACTTCTCCTCCCCCTGCCACTGCTTCACCTCTCTCTTCTCCTTGTCATCGTCGTCCAATTTCTTTCCATCCTTTTAATATTGGCTCAGTTGCTCCGAGTCTAGGTGGAGCCCAAGTCCCCATTCAATCTTTACTTTCCCATTATTAATAAAACAACTTCGTAGACTTCCAATAACATGCTGTAACACTTCTAGTATAATGCAAATCCTCTCAAAGAATTGTCTTTTAATATTAATACAATGGCATGGAACCCCATGCCATAATAAGTTACATTTTTAAATAAATACATGCCATCTCAGACTGTTATTTTTTGCCTCCAACGCCTATACAATATTCTTGGAATTTCATCACTCTCCACACTATCAGGATTTAAACCCAATAGTAATGCCATCTCTTCTCTAATACGTCCACGCTCATGTTCAGTGGTCGAAGAACCCATCCGGTTGAGCAGATTATGGAGATGCGGATAGTGCTTGGCTAGACAATATACATGCCATAAATGATGACTGGTGTCTGTCCGATCAAATGGCTTCTGATATACCGTTCCATCTGCCATTTGGTTGATTTCTGCAGCCACCTCCTGGACTGGCCGGTTCTCTATCACCATCGCTCCAAGCCGTTTTGCAAGGTCCCCCAGAACATACGGTTTCTTCTCCCTAGTTTCCATTCTGTAAGAGATGGGGTGCACTGCATATGTGTGCGTGTTCGCTGCAGTTTTAATCGGCGAGTCATCGATGATGAGGATTTCACTTGAGCTAGCAGTCCGGTTCATCACTACAGCCTCTGGCTTGACGAAGATAGGCTTGCTACCCCTCACATGGACCATAGTCAAGCAATCCTCCTGCGTTAGGAGAAAGTCAAATGGTAATATTACTCGCGTCTGATCGTGCATCATCTGTAGCAACGTTAATGCACTGTGGCGCATCATGGATGTCCAAACTCCCAATTGCAAATTGAACCCGGCCCTCTGTTTTAAGTGTCGCATGGTCATTATTAGATCCCGCAGTTTCTCCCGTGTGATTAATGTGAATCTGTCTCTTTTGACCAACTTGCGACCGCAGGCTTTGGAGGGTGCAATGACATTTGAGGACGAGCCACGCTCATGGGAGAAAAGGACACCGTTCAGATCAAAAACGATACAATACCTTCGCCGTGACTCTGAAATGAAATGCGTCAGCATAAAAAATGGTACAAGTCAATTTTACCATCTACAATATTAGCGAATGTTGCTCCCGATGGTCGTTGAGAGGGTTTTGGTCGAGGAAACGTGAAGGGCGGAAATACTCTCCTCTGCAATGTGGGGTCAATCGCATCCGATGGCGTGTGGGCACATGCCATTTCAGTTGTAGACTCTGGTACAACTGGCTCAACAGTGGC